CTTCTGCCACGCTACTCCTCAGAATCACCAATTACTCGGCGTATCTCTCCAACCACACCTTTTCACACCTCACCCCCCTCATGGATCATCTCCCTGGTTCTAAAAAATCGATCCTGAGGTCAGTAATCCAGGAGGGCTAAATATCAGCAAGAACGTCCCTCCAAATATCCATGGACGTCGCTGACACTGCTGCTCGCTCTGCTGCTACTGCCATTGTTATGCACAGAGCTTCTTTCCTTCAAGCGGCGGGAGTTCCGAAGGAACTACAGGCCAAAGTTGAGGACTTACTCTTCGACAAGAATAAACTCTTTGCAGAAACCACAGACTCAATCTTACACTCTTCTAAAGACTCCCGAACAACCTTGCGAACTCTGGGGATGTATACTCCTCCCCTTTAAGAGACGCCAGTACTCACCATACCAGCGCAGATATGACTACTCCTACATCAGACATCAGTGGCAGCAGCAACAGAGGCCCTTTGACAGCCAACGCTCTCGCCAGATGCCTCAGCGACGCCGAAACCCAAACAGCAGGACGAACATGCCTCCCAACAACAAGCAACAGGTTTGATGCATTGGTCGGGGGCAAGCAGACAGTCACAGGCAGCATCACGAATTGTACGACCTAGCTCTTTTGCCCTTTCTACATCAATGGGCAAAAATCACTACGGACAGGTGGGTCCTTGAGATTGTTCAATCTGGCTACCTTATCCCTTTCATAGCCATCACACCAACCACCCCTCACACCACGTCCCTCTTCAGGGACCCCTCTCACGAGACCCTCCTCCGTCTAGAAGTCAACCGCCTTCTCTCTCTGGGTGCCATAGAGCCAGTCCCAAAGGATTTCAGAAACAGGGGCTTTTACTCACATTATTTCCTCACCCAGAAGAGGTCCGGAGGTTGGCACCCCATCCTAGATCTCCACCGTTGGAACAAATATCTCAAGAAACAACGATTCAAAATGATGACTTTAGCTGCCATAATCCCTGCATTAGATCCACAGGACTGGTTTGCCACCCTCGATCTCCAGGGTGCCTATTTCCACGTTCCTATCCATCCAGCTCACAGGAGGTTCTTGCGCTTTGCCCTGGCAAAGGACCACTTTCAATACAAGGTCCTCCCCTTCGAGCTATCATCAGCCCCCAGGGTGTTTTCAAAGGTTCTATCCGTGGTCACTGCCTTCCTTCGACGCCAAGGGGTACTCATCTTCCCTTACCTGGACGATTGCCTACTCAAGGGCCCTTCTGCACACGAGGTCTCCCAGATGGTTCAGCTCATGAGGCAAGTCTTTCAATCGCTCGGACTCCTCCTCAATGAGTAAAAGTCCGTTTTGTGTCCCACTCAGAACATCGAGTTCATTGGGGCCCGCCTGGACTCACTTGCCAGCAGAGCGTTCCTACCCTTACAGAGGTTTCAAGCGATCCAAGACCTCATTGACACCATCACCGTCAGCCCTACTGTTCCACTCAGTACATGACTCAGACTGATGGGTCATATGGCCACCACAACATACGTGGTGAAATACGCCAGACTACATCTGTGCGCCCTTCAGTACTGGCTGACTCTCGTATACGACCACACCAGATACAATCTCCACAGGCTGGTAATGCCGCCACCTGGCATTCGCCAATCACTCCTCTGGTGGACCAGCCACACAAACCTACTGTCAGGTATACCTTTCCATCGGCAGGAGCCACTCCACCAAATCACAACGGATGCCTTCCTACTAGGATGGGGGGCTCACATGGGCTCCCTCTCAGTCCAAGGCCAATGGTCCTCACAAGAAGCACGGCTGTACATAAACCTTCTAGAGCTACGCGCCATTTTCAACGCATGCAAATCCTTCCTCATCTACATTCGAAACACCATGGTGAGGATACTCACGGACAACATCACAGCCATGTATTACGTGAATCACCAAGGAGGCGCTCGCTCCTGTTCCCTGTGCACGGAAGCCATCTGCTTTTGGAACTGGTGCATTTGCCACGGAATAACACCTACGGCATCCTACTTACCTGGCACCACAAACGTGACGGCAGGTTTCCTGAGCAGACACTTTGTTGTGAAGCACGAATGGGAAATGCACGATGGCGTCCTACGCGAGATCTTCCAACGTTGGGGTATTCCCCAAGTGGACCTCTTTGCAACTCCTGCCAATACAAAATGCCGCAAGTACTGCACTAGGGCGGGCCTAAGCCGCACATCCCTGGGGGACACCTTCCTTACGACTTGGCGCGGACCCCTCCTCTATGCATTCCCCCCCATACCTCTGATCCCCAGAGTCCTTCAGAAGCTGAAGGCGGACAGGGCAACGCTAATCCTCATAGCCCCAGGCTGGCCTCGCCAGCACTGGTTTCCCTTCCTCCACCGTCTCTCCGCGTGGACACCAATGTGCCTTCTGCCTCTCCACAATCTCCTCACACAAGACCGGGGACGCCTGAAACACCCCCAGATACAAACCTAACAGCATGGTTCCTAACTGGCTGACTCCATTCGAATCCCTCTGCTCCGTTCCAGTCCAACACGTCCTAGTACACATGAGAAAAACCACGAGAAAAACTTAACTTCACAAGTGGCGCAGATTCTACTCCTGCTGTACCTCGAACCACCACGATCCGACATGTCCGTTGATCCCCTCCGTCCTGGACTACGCGTCGAACCTAAAGAACACAGGCCTCGCGTTAGCCTCCATCAGGGTGCACTTCGTAGCAATTTCAGCATTCGAATCACCGATAGATAGCATTTCTGTCTTCGCCCATCATAGTACTAAGAGATTTGTCAAGGGGCTTACCAACATGTCCCCACCGTACGACCCAGTCCCACTGGTGTGGAGCCTGGATGTAGTCCTCGACGCCCTAATGAGGCCACCGTTCGAGCCTCTGGCGACTGTATCCTTGCATTTCCTCACTTTGAAAACTGTTTTCCTGCTTGCCATAATATCGGCACGCAGAGTGAGCGAGCTTTCCACCATGATGGCCACGCCACCATATACAGTTTTCTGTAAGGATGGAGTCGTCTTGAGACTACACTCAAGATTCATACCCATAATCATCTCACATTTCTATGTCAACGAACCAGTGATCCTGCCAGCCTTTTTCCCGAAGCCCCATGCCTCACCACGAGAAGCGGCCCTACACTCCTTGGACACCCGCGGGGCCTTAGCATTCTACATAGATTGCACTAAACCTTTCAGGCATACGGACCACTTATTCGTCTCCCTGGCACACAGGTCAAAGGGTCAAAGCCTGTCTTACCAGAGGATTTCCAGTCTTGTAACCTCATGCATAATGCAATCTAACGCAGAAAAAGGCTTACCCCTTCCATCCCAACCACGCGCCCACTCCACTACAGTCATGGCCACATATATAGAGTTTCATAGAGGGGTATATCTGAAGGACATCTGCAGGACGGTGACCTGGTCCTCACACGAGACCTTCACCAAACACTATTCTATTTCTCTAATCACTCGTTCAGATGGGGCAGTGGCGACTGCGGTGCTCTCCACAGCGGATAAATAGGGACTCCTTGCCCTCCTTCCATTCTAGCGACTACTGCTACGCAGTCACCCATAGTGGAGCACCCGCGGGGACATCCCTGAAGAAGAAAGTGGAGTTACGCACCTTTGGTGCAGTAACTGTCGTTCTTCGAGGTGGTGTCCCCGCAGGTGCTCCACTACCCGCCCTCCTCCCGGCTTAGGAGTCCTCTCTCTCTCTGCTCTTGTCTCTTCCAGACTCTGAAGCGGTCTCAAGGAATTGGTGGGGGGCCGGACCGCGTGAGATAGAAAAGAGCACGAAAGCCGCGAGCCCGCGGCACATGCGCGGTCCGGCCGAACACTGCTCATCACCAGCTTCTGTCTGCGGCGCCGGGGCAAGCCCAGCACCCATAGTGGAGCACCCGCGGGGACACCACCTCGAAGAATGACAGTTACTGTACTGAAGGTGAGTAACTTCGCTTTCCTACTGCCAAAAACTAGCAACAGTACATCTTGGAAAATGAGAACAATCAGAATCCAGTAAGGTGCAGTCCAAAAAATGCCAATGTTTTAAGCATATTTGTGCCATGTGTATATTTGTCATATCTGCTGAATTTGACAAGTATAAGATTTTACTTTTGTTATGCCAGTGAAACTAGAGAGTTGTAGGGCATTGAGTTGGATTGTTCTCTGGCTCATATAGCAACAGAAGTGTTAATTAAGTTCTAGACCATGTCTACACTAAACGGCTGTGGCGATCTTCTGTGATCAATCTTCCGGAGTTTGATTTTTAGTAAGTCTAGTTAAGGCTTGTTAAATCAAACTCAGAGGGTACTCCTGCCAGTTGCTGGTACTCCTGCTTGTGCGATGAGTAAGGGAAGCCAATGGGAGTGTTTGCTCCCATCAACCTCCCACTGTGTGGATGGTGGGGAAATGTGAAACAATGTAAGTCGAGACCAGCTACGTAATTGACATGGCTGGAGTTGCATATCTTGCTTCGATGTCCGCTTTTATAGTGTAGACCTGGTCCTAGTTAATCTTTTACCTGAAACTAAATGTTGACAGCAGTACATACTTGAATATTACCTTTGCTGAATCAGGATTACTGATGGTAATGTAGAACTCAAAAAGCAAAGCTTGACTTTTTTAGATTTTATGTTGAATTTGCATATTTTCTTTTCTTTTAAATGGATCAAAATTGTTCTATAGTCATTGGCTGCATCTGGCAAAATTCAGACCCGTAATTCATCACCCGAGCATCAACATCAATGATTGCCAGAAAACATGGCTAAAAAGCCTCTTTCTACTGTTGCAATAGTGCAGTTTTTGGTATATATTCTGCCTTTTTTACTTTGTGCTGCATTTCAAGTCAGTAATGTTGTTTTCAGGGGCTGAGGTATTAACCAGATAGTGGTGCTCAAGTGGAACTCTTACAGCACAAAAAAATTCTGTAGTTATATAGAATATATTCGGTTTATGGAATTAGCAAACTATGGCATGTACTAATTTAGAGGGTTTTTTTGTTGCAGTTCCCAGAGTGTGGCTTTTTTGGCATGTATGACAAAATTCTCCTCTTTCGCCATGATCTGAACTCGGAAAATATTTTGCAGAGGATTACATCAGCAGAAGAGATACATGAAGGCGATCTTGTTGAGGTGGTGCTCTCTGGTAGGTCCTTTGTTATTTCTGTGAAACCATTCTTATTATTGAATAAAACATCACAGTATTACAGTACACTGTCTGCAACAATATAACCATGGACTGTATTCTTGAAGTTAGTTGGCTAATCAGGCTTTGGCCTGGCCAGTATTTTTGTAGAAGATTTCCTAAGAAATTTAGAGTGCTCCCTGTAGTAATATTTGTTATGTCAATGAATTTGTCTTCCTTGTGGCTGAATTTGCACTAACAAACTTTGTAGTCTGAAGTCTCCAACAGTGGTGTAACTGTGGAAGCTATGGTAGAGACAGAACTCAGGTGAAGTTCCTTTCCTCCTCCTCTTTTCCCCACCAAGCATGTTGTGTGTGTGTGTCTCTCTCTCTCTCTCTCTCTTCCCTCCCACCCCATTCCTCCCTCACCTCCTTCCACTTACCCCACCCTGGCTGTTTTACATCTTCCATCTCAGTGGTATTACAGCTAAAAAGATTGCTAATATAAATAAGTGTTCGGAATCATTATCTGTCAGGATGTGGCTTATGAGACATTGTGCTGCTTGAGTGAACCATTTTGTATGTAGATAGTAGAGAAAACAAAGGTGGTGATTATTAAAGAACTCGTTGCATTTTTCAAAGTCTTTGAAGTGTTGGGCTCTGTGGATCTGATAGTGGAGAGACATTCATGGACTGTTGGTTGATGTCGGTAAAGTTGGAAATAGAAACCTAACAGTATGTCCACCCAGGTACAGATTTATGGCCTGCAGGGGATACTCTCAAGCACTAAAACCAGCAGTGTAGACATTTTGGCTCAGGTTCTGAAACATGTCCCTCTCTCCATGCTTCAGAATCAGCATTTTGGTATATATCTGCAAACAAGCAGGAGGAGAAAGCAGGGTTATGATAACTGAAGCCCAGAATGCCACTTTGGGAACTGAGAGGGATTTCATGACTTGATTCTGAGACAGGAGTTTGATCCAGCCAAGGAAATAGGAATTGCATTGGTCAGACTTCTTCTTGACTTGGCTCAAGCAAAACTGGGAAGGCAGTTTACTTGAATCATGTGTCATAGCACAGTGAAGCATTCTCTCATGTCTGAAAGTGCAACATGGTAACATGTTGACAGAGTCCTTCAGAAGAAAGCAAAATTTGAGTTGTCATCTTGCTAGCCTAGTTTAGTGTTGTCCCTTTGATTACATTCCTGCCAGTTTGCTATTCACTTAATACTGTTCTAAGATATTTCAGTGATCTTTTAAATAATGTTTTGTGAAGCATCGTATCAAATGTTTTAGTAAAATTAAATTATACTTAATTTGCTGGGTTTTCTTCATTCATTAGTTTTGTAGCTCCATAACACCTACATCAACCAGATTTGTCAACACTAAATATTCTTCAGTAACACTTACTGTTAATTACTCACGGTTCTGTTATCTTAAAGATATTTTTAAAAAGTTTGGCTAAAATCTGTGTGTGCGCATGAGTGTATATGAGAAATCCTCCAAATGTACTGAATTTTGGAACATAATTTTTTTATTAAACAGTTGGATGGTGTTCTTTGCAACTGCTGTTTTAAAACAATGTACTATTTTAATAAATACTTATTCTTACAGTCATAAATATATAATTTACTGCATTTTTTTAAAGCTTTGGCTACCGTTGAAGATTTCCAGATTCGTCCTCATGCACTTTATGTGCATTCTTACAAGGCCCCTACATTTTGTGACTATTGTGGGGAGATGCTTTGGGGTTTGGTACGACAAGGATTAAAATGTGAAGGTAAGTTATGCGTTACAAACTGACAGGTGAATCGTGATGTTCTAGCTTTTGTTTTTACGGAAAGTCACAGGAAAAGTATGATGACAGGATCTGGATCTTAATTATAGTTAATTTGTTGGTCAGTGATGAATTCAGCATTTGGAAAGGAGCATAGTTCAGATGGAGCTTTGACTGTATATCAGGAAACCTGAGTTCTGTTCATGGTTCCAACACACAAATGTATATGACCTTGGGCGAGACTCTTAATTTCCCTCTTCATGTTTCCCACCTGTAAAAAAGGAACAATACTAAACTCATGGAGGTTTTGAGAGGCTCAGTTAGTATTGTGTTTGACTTCCTTGCATCAGCCTTTCTAATAGTTAATGGAGAGAATCCCAAAGGGAAACCCCTTTCCATATGACCTTTGCCCAGTTGGATTGTGGAAAGTGTGGCAGCTGGTTGTCAGTATGTTGGTATCAAGGTATTAGAAACACACCACTTTCTGCCTAAGGCTTCCTCTTCACTCCCGTGGCCTCCGCTTAGATATGGGAGCCTGCCTATGGAAAAATAAATGAGGAAGATCAGTAGCCAGACAAAATCTGAGATCCCATTTACAGGTTTTAACAAATATCAGGCAAAAAATAAATACTGAGTTCCCTATTATGTTACGTTAAGTAATTTTAAATATGTACATTTTCTGCTATATTTCTGGATTTATATATCCTGTCTGCTTTATAAAAATACTAGCAGACTTACCTGGCGTTGCCAGGGTCCTTCAGGGCATGGCCTTGGGGATGTGGGGAGGGGGTATGCAGGATGGTGAGGGTTGAAGGGGGATTCTAGAGTGAAGATTGGGGGATGAGGAGGGACTCAATTCCTCTCAGTCCACCAGGGGCCTGTTTTCTATCCCTCCAGCCTGCTGGGGGTCTGCTGTCTTCTCCCCAAGCCTGCCGAGTGTCTGCTTTCTTCCTCCCACCCCAGTTCGCCAGGGGTTTCATAGACTCATAGGGCTAGAAGATACCTCAGATCAAGTTCAACCCCCTGCCCAAAGCAAGACCAACCCTAACTAAATCATCTCAGCCTGGGCTTTGTCAAGCTGGGACTTAAAAACCTCTAGGGATGGAGATTCCACCAACTCCCTAGGCAATTCATTCCTGTGCTTCACCACCCTCTTAGTGAAATAGTTTTTCCTAATATCCAGCCTAGACTTCCCCCACTGTAACCTAAGACCATTGCTCCTTGTTCTGCCATCCGCCAGTACTGAGAACAGACTCTCTCCATACTCTTTGGAACCTCCCTTCAGGAAGTTGAAGGCTACTATCAAATCCCCCCTCATTTTTTCTCTTCTGCAGACTACATAAACCCAACTCCCTCAGCCCCTCCTCGTAGGTCATATGCTCCAGCCCCCTAATCATTTTGGTTGCCCTCTGCTGAGCCCTTTCCAATGCGTCCATGTCCTTTTTATAGTGGGGGGGGGGGGCAGAACTGGGACGCAGTACTCCAGATGTGGCCTCAGCAGTGCCAAATAAAGTGAAATAATAACTTCTCTAGATCTGCTGGAAATACTTCTCCTAATTAGGGTCGCCAGGTATCCGGTATTGACCCGAACAGTCTGGTATCTTTGCCTGCTGTCTGGCAAAAAAATTCAGAAAATACCTGGTAATACCTAAAACGTCTGGTATTTTCTGGGTTTTTTTTCCCTGCCAGGAGCTGAAAATACTGGACACCTGGCAACCCTACGACACATTGGGCAAATGGGCCTGGCCCCCCTGCCTACCTAGTTCTTCAGGGAAGCTGCGTTCTGGCTTGATCAAGAAAACAAAATGGCCACCAGCAAAAAGCCTAAAGACAAAGGGGAAGCAATGCCTTCCCTGGGTCTTAGTGCTCAACTACTCCCTTGTTCCTATCCCTGTTCTAACTCTACAAACACTCTGAAAGGGGCCATGCTGTTTTAATGACGTTTGATTTATTTATTTATTTATTGCTTAATAATTCTTGGAGTGTGGGGGGTGTGTGGGTGTGTGTGTGTGTTTGTTTGGGGGGGGGGGGTTTCGGTATTTTTGGTTAAACCATCTGGCAACCCTACTCCTAATGCACCTTAGCCTTCTTGGCTACAAGAGCACACTGTTGACTCATATCCAGCTTCTCATCTACTGTAATCTCCAGGTCCTTTTCTGCTGAATTGCTGCTTAGCCAGTTGGTATCCAGTCTGTAACAATGCTTGGGATTCTTCTATCCCAAGTACAGGACTCTGCACTTGTCCTTGTTGAACTTTATCAGATTTCTTTTGGCCCAATCCTCCAGTTTGTCTAGGTCACTCTGGGCCATATCCCTACCCTCCAACGTATATACCTCTTTCTTCTCCCCCTTCAAGAATTTACCCAGTGTGCTGACAGGCAAGAGGACAGAAACCCAGCCATGCTGGCCACTCCCTTGGTGTTATGGCTGTCCCCAGTGGATACTCTGCAGAATATCTCTCCCCTGTGGGCTTGCTGCCCCCTGTGGCTATTCTCAAATCATGTACGTCCGAACAGCAGCCCCTCCCTTTGTATCTTATGGAAAACTGTCCTTTTCCCCAGGTTTCCATTTGTTCTGGCACAACCAAACCCCGATCTTGCTTTAAGTTAGAAGAGGAAGCTGCTACCATTTATGAGGAGTTCTTGGAAAAAGTAGACTTGCAGATAGACACATTCTAAAATAAAGTATATGTGTATATTAATGCTATACTTGCCATTGTAAAATGTTTTAATTATTTGTGCTAAAGAAGGAATTCTGTTCACATAATTTTTTCAAACTGACATTTTTAGGCTGTGGATTAAATTACCATAAGCGATGTGCCTTCAAGATCCCAAATAACTGTAGTGGAGTGAGAAAGAGGCGTTTGTCTAATGTGTCTTTACCAAGTGCTGGGCTTTCAATTCCCAGACCAGTGCAAACTGAATACACAGCCACTGCTGCTGAAGAGGTATGTAACAGAAAGTAAAAACACAATGTACTTTATATACAATAGTGCTGAGTTAAATCCACCATGTTTCTGGGAACTAGATCCAACCTTATATTGTAATTGGTTTAAATTGAGTAAAACCTAGTTTGCATTAACCATTTCAGACTATACTTGTTTATTTTTAAACTGCTGGTGAATCTTATACACTGACATATGATGCAGTTTTTGTGTTTACAGTGAAAGTGAGAAGTGAAATTTGAGGTGGATTGTAACTTGTTATGTATAATGGCAAAATTAATAGGCTATTCACAGTGATGTGTATTCTTCAAAAAATACTGGGTTAGGAGATGATAAAATACATTGCTTTCTTTTGGAATATAGATTCAGTGTTCAATTACTGTATCAGTCTATAATAGTTAATTGGGTAAACACAGTATAAATTGTACATGTATAATCTGAGAAGACAGAATGTTCCATAGAACTCAGCAAAAACACCTATGTAGGGAGTATTCATTTTACAAATAACATCCACTGTAGCTGACCACTTTTACAGATGATGAGAAATTAACACGAGCTCTGGTATCCCAGACATGGTGCCAAAACATCCAAGGGCAAATGATGTTGTTAGGGCAGTTGTATTTGTTACTGTGATCAGTGGGGGGCCGTAATGTAACTGATACTTAAACGTGTTCTTATATCTGTTTAAAAGTAAATCTGAGTTAATTGCAGTTGATAGAAATAACATTATTTGGTCAAAGTTGGGGCAGGTAATAAGTTGCAGTTACAGAATTTCTGCTTTTTATCTTTGGCCAGGATTCTGAATCCTAATTTTTGTCAGAGTTCTTTTCTGTCCTATGTGTTGAATTGAGGTTTATCTATTCAACAGATGGGTCTAACAAATATTTGTCATGGCCTCAGCCAGTGATCAGTTACTTACAAGTGAAAAAGCTCAGTAGGACAATCTCATAGTCGTTTCCAATACCAGAGAAAAAGCATCAATGTTCTTTTGTTACACAAATTTATAATGTTTTGTTATCTTTTCATATACAAATATGTTAGTCTCATATTTCCATATTACCACTCTCCCTGTAACAGTAGAAGTTTAGTGTTAGTTCAGACTGGTCTTTTCTATGTTTGCAGTTACTTGATATTTCTCTTGTTCTCCCAAATACGATTACTCTGCAGTTCCTTACGTATGTGCAACATTGAACATGATTACTCTGTTGTTTTATACATACACACATCTATGTATGCTTATACTCTGTTAAACGTTATCAAAACAGACTCTTAACATTGTAACAGCAGTTTTCTGCCAGTCCTGAATATGTCTTTGCTTCCCAAGAATATGATCTTAGAACGTGTAGTAATCCTCTGCATAAACAGCTTTAAATTTGGCTAGAGAACACAGTGAGGTATTTGCCCTTTTCAGAGCTATTTGGTAAAACTGTATTTGAGTGACTGAGCTCCACTTTGGGAATGCCCGACTTCAGTGAAGCAACTTCACTTCATATATGCTGAGGAACTAGTCCAAGGCCTTTAAAATATTGTCCTGGACATTAATGCCACACACTATTGCTGTAATTTACTATGTACAATTGGTGTGTTTGATGTTGGACAGTGTATGAAGGGAGATCTTACAGTATATATCGTACTGTAAAGGAACACAATACGCCTTTTGGTCAGAGACTGGAATGTCCAGTCTCAAAACAGTGAAGATAAATACAACTGAGTTACCATTGAAAATCTTTGCAAAAATCATTTGAAGGAAGAAGGTAGTATAATCTAAGAATGTTAAGGACTAGTCGACTATCCGCTAAGCAAATGCTTATCGGATGTCAGTCAACTAGTCGATTTCCTCCCCCCTTTGCTGCCTTCATCTGATGATGTACTTCAAGAAGGGATACTTCAAAGTAGAAGCGCCACACAGCTGAGCTGAGGATCAGCTGTGTAGCGTTGCCTCTTTGAAACCCCAGAGTGGTGTTTCAAAGGGGCAGCCGCACACAGCTGATCCCTGGCGCAGCTGGTCAGCAAAACTGGGAAGGCAGTTTACTTGAATCATGTGTCATAGCACAGTGAAGCATTCTCTCATGTCTGAAAGTGCAACATGGTAACATGTTGACAGAGTCCTTCAGAAGAAAGCAAAATTTGAGTTGTCATCTTGCTAGCCTAGTTTAGTGTTGTCCCTTTGATTACATTCCTGCCAGTTTGCTATTCACTTAATACTGTTCTAAGATATTTCAGTGATCTTTTAAATAATGTTTTGTGAAGCATCGTATCAAATGTTTTAGTAAAATTAAATTATACTTAATTTGCTGGGTTTTCTTCATTCATTAGTTTTGTAGCTCCATAACACCTACATCAACCAGATTTGTCAACACTAAATATTCTTCAGTAACACTTACTGTTAATTACTCACGGTTCTGTTATCTTAAAGATATTTTTAAAAAGTTTGGCTAAAATCTGTGTGTGCGCATGAGTGTATATGAGAAATCCTCCAAATGTACTGAATTTTGGAACATAATTTTTTTATTAAACAGTTGGATGGTGTTCTTTGCAACTGCTGTTTTAAAACAATGTACTATTTTAATAAATACTTATTCTTACAGTCATAAATATATAATTTACTGCATTTTTTTAAAGCTTTGGCTACCGTTGAAGATTTCCAGATTCGTCCTCATGCACTTTATGTGCATTCTTACAAGGCCCCTACATTTTGTGACTATTGTGGGGAGATGCTTTGGGGTTTGGTACGACAAGGATTAAAATGTGAAGGTAAGTTATGCGTTACAAACTGACAGGTGAATCGTGATGTTCTAGCTTTTGTTTTTACGGAAAGTCACAGGAAAAGTATGATGACAGGATCTGGATCTTAATTATAGTTAATTTGTTGGTCAGTGATGAATTCAGCATTTGGAAAGGAGCATAGTTCAGATGGAGCTTTGACTGTATATCAGGAAACCTGAGTTCTGTTCATGGTTCCAACACACAAATGTATATGACCTTGGGCGAGACTCTTAATTTCCCTCTTCATGTTTCCCACCTGTAAAAAAGGAACAATACTAAACTCATGGAGGTTTTGAGAGGCTCAGTTAGTATTGTGTTTGACTTCCTTGCATCAGCCTTTCTAATAGTTAATGGAGAGAATCCCAAAGGGAAACCCCTTTCCATATGACCTTTGCCCAGTTGGATTGTGGAAAGTGTGGCAGCTGGTTGTCAGTATGTTGGTATCAAGGTATTAGAAACACACCACTTTCTGCCTAAGGCTTCCTCTTCACTCCCGTGGCCTCCGCTTAGATATGGGAGCCTGCCTATGGAAAAATAAATGAGGAAGATCAGTAGCCAGACAAAATCTGAGATCCCATTTACAGGTTTTAACAAATATCAGGCAAAAAATAAATACTGAGTTCCCTATTATGTTACGTTAAGTAATTTTAAATATGTACATTTTCTGCTATATTTCTGGATTTATATATCCTGTCTGCTTTATAAAAATACTAGCAGACTTACCTGGCGTTGCCAGGGTCCTTCAGGGCATGGCCTTGGGGATGTGGGGAGGGGGTATGCAGGATGGTGAGGGTTGAAGGGGGATTCTAGAGTGAAGATTGGGGGATGAGGAGGGACTCAATTCCTCTCAGTCCACCAGGGGCCTGTTTTCTATCCCTCCAGCCTGCTGGGGGTCTGCTGTCTTCTCCCCAAGCCTGCCGAGTGTCTGCTTTCTTCCTCCCACCCCAGTTCGCCAGGGGTTTCATAGACTCATAGGGCTAGAAGATACCTCAGATCAAGTTCAACCCCCTGCCCAAAGCAAGACCAACCCTAACTAAATCATCTCAGCCTGGGCTTTGTCAAGCTGGGACTTAAAAACCTCTAGGGATGGAGATTCCACCATCTCCCTAGGCAATACATTCCTGTGCTTCACCACCCTCTTAGTGAAATAGTTTTTCCTAATATCCAGCCTAGACTTCCCCCACTGTAACCTAAGACCATTGCTCCTTGTTCTGCCATCCGCCAGTACTGAGAACAGACTCTCTCCATACTCTTTGGAACCTCCCTTCAGGAAGTTGAAGGCTACTATCAAATCCCCCCTCATTTTTTCTCTTCTGCAGACTACATAAACCCAACTCCCTCAGCCCCTCCTCGTAGGTCATATGCTCCAGCCCCCTAATCATTTTGGTTGCCCTCTGCTGAGCCCTTTCCAATGCGTCCATGTCCTTTTTATAGTGGGGGGGGGGGCAGAACTGGGACGCAGTACTCCAGATGTGGCCTCAGCAGTGCCAAATAAAGTGAAATAATAACTTCTCTAGATCTGCTGGAAATACTTCTCCTAATTAGGGTCGCCAGGTATCCGGTTTTAGAGGGGGGGGGGGGGGCAGAACTGGGACGCAGTACTCCAGATGTGGCCTCAGCAGTGCCAAATAAAGTGAAATAATAACTTCTCTAGATCTGCTGGAAATACTTCTCCTAATTAGGGTCGCCAGGTATCCGGTATTGACCCGAACAGTCTGGTATCTTTGCCTGCTGTCTGGTAAAAAAATTCAGAAAATACCTGGTAATACCTAAAACGTCTGGTATTTTCTGGGTTCTTTTTCCCTTCCAGGAGCTGAAAATACTGGACACCTGGCAACCCTACGACACATTGGGCAAATGGGCCTGGCCCCCCTGCCTACCTAGTTCTTCAGGGAAGCTGCGTTCTGGCTTGATCAAGAAAACAAAATGGCCACCAGCAAAAAGCCTAAAGACAAAGGGGAAGCAATGCCTTCCCTGGGTCTTAGTGCTCAACTTCTCCTCTGTTCCTATCCCTATTCTGACTGCAGGCACTGAAAGGGGCCGTGCTGTTTTAATTTTTTTCTTAACTCTCGGAGTCCTTCCCCCCCACCCCCAACAGGATTTTTTCCCCGGTTGGGGGTGGGTGGGTGTGTGTGTGTGTTTTTTTTGGGGGGGGGGGTTTCGGTATTTTTGGTTAAACCATCTGGCAACCCTACTCCTAATGCACCTTAGCCTTCTTGGCTACAAGAGCACACTGTTGACTCATATCCAGCTTCTCATCTACTGTAATCTCCAGGTCCTTTTCTGCTGAATTGCTGCTTAGCCAGTTGGTATCCAGTCTGTAACAATGCTTGGGATTCTTCTATCCCAAGTACAGGACTCTGCACTTGTCCTTGTTGAACTTTATCAGATTTCTTTTGGCCCAATCCTCCAGTTTGTCTAGGTCACTCTGGGCCATATCCCTACCCTCCAACGTATATACCTCTTTCTTCTCCCCCTTCAAGAATTTACCCAGTGTGCTGACAGGCAAGAGGACAGAAACCCAGCCATGCTGGCCACTCCCTTGGTGTTATGGCTGTCCCCAGTGGATACTCTGCAGAATATCTCTCCCCTGTGGGCTTGCTGCCCCCTGTGGCTATTCTCAAATCATGTACGTCCGAACAGCAGCCCCTCCCTTTGTATCTTATGGAAAACTGTCCTTTTCCCCAGGTTTCCATTTGTTCTGGCACAACCAAACCCCGATCTTGCTTTAAGTTAGAAGAGGAAGCTGCTACCATTTATGAGGAGTTCTTGGAAAAAGTAGACTTGCAGATAGACACATTCTAAAATAAAGTATATGTGTATATTAATGCTATACTTGCCATTGTAAAATGTTTTAATTATTTGTGCTAAAGAAGGAATTCTGTTCACATAATTTTTTCAAACTGACATTTTTAGGCTGTGGATTAAATTACCATAAGCGATGTGCCTTCAAGATCCCAAATAACTGTAGTGGAGTGAGAAAGAGGCGTTTGTCTAATGTGTCTTTACCAAGTGCTGGGCTTTCAATTCCCAGACCAGTGCAAACTGAATACACAGCCACTGCTGCTGAAGAGGTATGTAACAGAAAGTAAAAACACAATGTACTTTATATACAATAGTGCTGAGTTAAATCCACCATGTTTCTGGGAACTAGATCCAACCTTATATTGTAATTGGTTTAAATTGAGTAAAACCTAGTTTGCATTAACCATTTCAGACTATACTTGTTTATTTTTAAACTGCTGGTGAATCTTATACACTGACATATGATGCAGTTTTTGTGTTTACAGTGAAAGTGAGAAGTGAAATTTGAGGTGGATTGTAACTTGTTATGTATAATGGCAAAATTAATAGGCTATTCACAGTGATGTGTATTCTTCAAAAAATACTGGGTTAGGAGATGATAAAATACATTGCTTTCTTTTGGAATATAGATTCAGTGTTCAATTACTGTATCAGTCTATAATAGTTAATTGGGTAAACACAGTATAAATTGTACATGTATAATCTGAGAAGACAGAATGTTCCATAGAACTCAGCAAAAACACCTATGTAGGGAGTATTCATTTTACAAATAACATCCACTGTAGCTGACCACTTTTACAGATGATGAGAAATTAACACGAGCTCTGGTATCCCAGACATGGTGCCAAAACATCCAAGGGCAAATGATGTTGTTAGGGCAGTTGTATTTGTTACTGTGATCAGTGGGGGGCCGTAATGTAACTGATACTTAAACGTGTTCTTATATCTGTTTAAAAGTAAATCTGAGTTAATTGCAGTTGATAGAAATAACATTATTTGGTCAAAGTTGGGGCAGGTAATAAGTTGCAGTTACAGAATTTCTGCTTTTTATCTTTGGCCAGGATTCTGAATCCTAATTTTTGTCAGAGTTCTTTTCTGTCCTATGTGTTGAATTGAGGTTTATCTATTCAACAGATGGGTCTAACAAATATTTGTCATGGCCTCAGCCAGTGATCAGTTACTTACAAGTGAAAAAGCTCAGTAGGACAATCTCATAGTCGTTTCCAATACCAGAGAAAAAGCATCAATGTTCTTTTGTTACACAAATTTATAATGTTTTGTTATCTTTTCATATACAAATATGTTAGTCTCATATTTCCATATTACCACTCTCCCTGTAACAGTAGAAGTTTAGTGTTAGTTCAGACTGGTCTTTTCTATGTTTGCAGTTACTTGATATTTCTCTTGTTCTCCCAAATACGATTACTCTGCAGTTCCTTACGTATGTGCAACATTGAACATGATTACTCTGTTGTTTTATACATACACACATCTATGTATGCTTATACTCTGTTAAACGTTATCAAAACAGACTCTTAACATTGTAACAGCAGTTTTCTGCCAGTCCTGAATATGTCTTTGCTTCCCAAGAATATGATCTTAGAACGTGTAGTAATCCTCTGCATAAACAGCTTTAAATTTGGCTAGAGAACACAGTGAGGTATTTGCCCTTTTCAGAGCTATTTGGTAAAACTGTATTTGAGTGACTGAGCTCCACTTTGGGAATGCCCGACTTCAGTGAAGCAACTTCACTTCATATATGCTGAGGAACTAGTCCAAGGCCTTTAAAATATTGTCCTGGACATTAATGCCACACACTATTGCTGTAATTTACTATGTACAATTGGTGTGTTTGATGTTGGACAGTGTATGAAGGGAGATCTTACAGTATATATCGTACTGTAAAGGAACACAATACGCCTTTTGGTCAGAGACTGGAATGTCCAGTCTCAAAACAGTGAAGATAAATACAACTGAGTTACCATTGAAAATCTTTGCAAAAATCATTTGAAGGAAGAAGGTAGTATAATCTAAGAATGTTAAGGACTAGTCGACTATCCGCTAAGCAAATGCTTATCGGATGTCAGTCAACTAGTCGATTTCCTCCCCCCTTTGCTGCCTTCATCTGATGATGTACTTCAAGAAGGGATACTTCAAAGTAGAAGCGCCACACAGCTGAGCTGAGGATCAGCTGTGTAGCGTTGCCTCTTTGAAACCCCAGAGTGGTGTTTCAAAGGGGCAGCCGCACACAGCTGATCCCTGGCGCAGCTGTTCAGCAGCTGCCCCTTTGAAAAGCTGCCTCAGTGTTTCAAAGTGGCAGTGCCATAGAGCCCGAGCTGACCCTGGGTTCTGGGGAAATCCCGTGCAAAACTTGGGGTCATCTGGGGAGTCCCCAGCTGACCCCAGACTCCATGAGGGTGCTGTGGCTTTGAAATGCACAAGAGCTCCTGCTGAGGACTCTTGTACATTTCAAAGCAGGCACGTTCTCGTGCAATCCTGAGTGAGCGGGACTTCCCGCTGGTCCCCAACCTGCACTCAGAGTGCTGCATTCCTCCTTTGAAATGTACGAGAGCTCCAGCGGGGGTTCTCATACATTTCAAGGGAGGAATGCAGAAGTGCCTGTCCAGTAGTCAATGGAAATTCCCTTGACTAGTCAATTAATGGCAATTTAGAATCCTTAGTATAATCACTGTTTCTCCAGCTAATGGAAGTATTTACATTTTTTTTGCATATAAATGTTTAATGTTTGTGCTCAGTGCATTTTAGATTTCATCTTTGTTTTTGTTTTCAGCGTTAAAGGAGATTACATTGACAAAATATGGTACACTGTAATAGCAGTCTATTTGGTCCTGAGTTACTGTCATTTGTTTTGCAGAGCATGACATTCCTCCACCTTCTTTGATATTTAGTTTTTTTCCAGGTGGTTGTCACTGAAACTAAGTTACTATTACTTTACTTTCATAAACAATGCACCTAGATCAAAATAGTAAGGCTTAGAATATTTCATTTTAGTTTTAAAATTACACATGTTGGATTTTGAATTTTTACCCAATGCAGTAAATTGTCCTGGTGGGCAAGGCTTTCTGAAATAGTGTAATGTGGGAAGTGTCTATTTTTGGGTTGATTACTTGGAACTCCTCCCATTTTGGAGGAGTCTAAATGTGAGGCTGATGTTTATCAGAGGCCTGTGCTGTTTTTGGGCTTGTATCTGAAAAAATCACAAGCGGGTATATTTGGTTTTGTTTATAATCATTTTTGTCTTTGTGGAAATACAGAAGCGCAAACTTTTTCCTGCTCTGTGCAAGGCTTTTATAGTATGGCTTCTATCAAAATTACTTCTTAAAATTGCCTGGCCAAGATGCTCTGCAAAAAATGTTTCCCAGTTTCTGGGCCAAGTGCCCCTTGAAATAAATTGTTTCTAAGCTGGCATTGTTTTTACTAGAATCTCATGTGCATCTTTTATTCCAGCGTTGCCATCCAGAACCCAATAAGAGAATTCCATCCTGGAGTGGGCGTCCAATCTGGATGGAAAAGATGGTGCTTTGCAGGGTGAAGGTTCCACATACCTTTGCTGTCCATTCCTATACTCGTCCTACCATATGCCAGTACTGCAAACGTTTGCTCAAGGGTCTTTTTCGCCAAGGAATGCAGTGTAAAGGTAGGAGTTCAATGCTGTACAACAATAAGACTAATTTCAATGAATGTTAAAATAGTCAAACATTTTTAAAATGAATAATATCTAAAAATAGCAGCTTTATTTAAAACAGAATTATATATATTTAAGGTAATTGCAGTTTTCATGCTTTGCCCCATTAAAAATGTGTATTAATTGGATGTATAATTTTGTGAATAATGTATTTGAATAATATTTTAGTTCATGTAGGTCAGAAAAGAAGATAATCTCCCAAGGATAATTCTGAGTAGCTCAAAAATATTATGGAAGATATTCCTTCCCTTAAAAATCACTTGCATTTCAACTAGAAACTTTCAAACAAACAAACAAACACAAAAAACTATTTGAGACACTGTCAAATACAGTACTTTAAAAGACCTCTCATTTCTTCTTTTTAGAATGCAAAGATCACATTTTTCCTGTACTAGCTTTGTTTCTTTCATTAGGTGCTTCTGTGGTCATAGGGCGGACATGTCTCTACTTCATTGTTAATACAAAATGTGAGACTATAATATCACTACAGCTCTCAGAATGTAGCATATTTTCACATTCTTTGTCTTTTGGCTCTACATTAACAGAATATCAAACATTACATACTTTACCTGTTCAGAGTTTCATTGCTTTGTTTGTGTAAAGGAGTGACCACTCACTGTCTGTACCGCCTATCTTTCTGGCCTGTGGCAGGACCTGGGCCTGCCCACTGTTTGGGTCCTAAACCAGGGAGCCTGTTGCTAGCCACCAACTGCTGCTGCTTTCACTATCTATTGTAGCATTCCTTGGGCTGTTTCCTACTGTCCCATCAGCCTGTAGGGTCCCGGGTTTGTTCTCTGTTTAAATAGGGTGTTTCCCTGCCCTCTTTGCCCAGAGAATTGATAACAATCTTTGCCTTGTTTTTTGAAGGTTCTTACAGACTCATTCACCTGGTAAGCTTCTAATAAGTGTCTGTCCCTTCTTGTCTTTCTCCCAGGCCTCTGTGCCTAAAGGGCTTCAAAGTTCTGCCTTTGCTTAGTCAGAACTTCTACTCAGTTTCTGGTGTATGTGTAGTCTCCTACCCTGAGACTCTTCTGTCCAGTTGCTGCAGCTTCCCCAGCCATTGAGAAACAACATCCTTTTTCCTCTGGGTCCAGCAATTAAGGCAATGTCTAGACTGCATTGCTTTTTCAGGATACCGGAAGTATCCCGGAAAAGCAACACTGCGTACCACAAATTGCGTTTCTTTTTCAGATTTAACATTGCAGTGTAGTCCTAGCCTAACTGAGCTGACCAGGCCCTGCAATTCTTTTTATATAAGCCTTCTAAACTTTGATTGGCAGCCTTACTAGGCCACACCCCACTCTAATGTCTTTTTCTGGGCTGGAATGTGGTAGGACTGCATGGCCTACATTGGGGCTTCAAAGGACTTGGTATACCCTGTCATAAGATTATCACAGAGAAAGTTAAAAAAGTGGTGAATTTTAAAAATTAACACAGATTGTAAAATATTATTTTTCTGACACACATTTCCGAGCATACCAGAAAGCCAGATTTGGGGACTTACCTGCTTTGTTTCAGTATATTTGAGACATCCCAATAAATCTTGAATAACTTGTGTGTAAATACCTTTTTGTTTAAAAACTTATTTCAGTTTTGTTTTCACTTGTCTGTTGATCACTTTTACAATTACTTTTCCATAACAGATATCAGTAGGTTCCTTTGCAATAGGGAGAGTTATAGCCTCACTTCTTTAATCTCTGTTGGTATTACATCTTGGAAATTCTGGGCTGCATCCAGGATTACTTAGAATTTTGAATCAGTCTTATAGTATACACACTGTTGATATGTAATAAAAAAGCTTAAAAAAGACACTTGAAACTTTTGTAACCCTTTAGAAAGTGGAAATGTTTGTCAGCAACCACTTCAAAGTGAACTAGTCTTGAATCTATTAAAACACATCATAATCCTCTATCCCCAATTTCATAGAAGTTAATTTCAGTAGATATGGTTAGCAGAAGCATAGAGATGTGAGCAGTGGGCATGAAGGAAGAGAGATGAAAAATAGAGGTGACCAGTATTTCATGTAGTATGACTTAGGGATGTAATAGTGTAATTGATTAACTGATAAGCAAAATATGTTAATGCTATAGACAGCAGTGTGGAGTGGCACGGGGCTTCTTGGGAGTGGGACCAGAGCACGCTGGCTGCTGCGCCCTCCCCCCTCCCCCCAGGGACTATAAAATAGTCGAGTAACCGAAAAGAATTCATGAGGTTAATCGACTATTCAGTTAACTGATATTTAACATCCTTAGTATGACCCTTTCTTCACAGCTCCTTATTGGGATTCTGAGCATCTTCATCTCTCTACCTCCAGTTATTCAAAAGTAAACCAGAAAACTGACCTTATTCTGTACATCTTATTAGAAACAGTCCTGGGGAAAAGGGGAAATTACTGTGTTGACATTTGGTCAGGCTAGGTGCTCTGAAGACCAAATAGGGCGCTAGTTAAAAGGTAGGAGGCTGAACTGTTTGTGTTAATCCTGAGGAAGTGAGAAACCGCTGGTGATTTCATGTGGGCAGCAGCAGGAAGGACTAGTTTGTTGGTTCAAAAGTAGTTCTGGAGGCATAGAAAATCTTTAAGATATGGTAACTATGCTGATGAGAGAAATATCAGGGAACTGTCAGGTGGTGAAAGACTTGGTTTCATAGTGGCCGTGATGGTTGCAATGAAGGTCAGAGTAAAACTTTAGTTCCGTAACTGCAATTAGAACAAAGGGTGGGGAGGAGCCACTCTAAGCCCAAAAGAATGAAAAAAGGAACTCAGGATGGAGAAGGGAAAGTATGAAAGAAGAGAACTAGAGTAGTAAATAAATCAGGATTAAATAAAATAAGAGGGAGGCAGAATAGTGTATTTCTTGCAGAGAGAAGAGATAAAAGAATAGTCATAGGTACCAATGTAATTGAGTGAATTGCAGTGGAGCCCTTTCGGCAAGTGAATTCATGACAAGATTGTTGACTTACTTTCTGGCCTGAAGTTGAATACCTTTGTTGAAAATAATGTGATTAGTCATTTCAGTGACTCTAAGTATGAGTAAAACTAACTTAAACATGTGGATTTTTTCTATTTTAGATTGCAGATTTAACTGTCACAAACGTTGTGCATCTAAAGTCCCTAGAGACTGTCTCGGAGAGGTGGTGTTCAATGGAGGTAGGAAAGATATTTTCAAATAGTGAAATATCTCTGGAGACTTAACAAAACATACAAACCTTATTTTTATTACTTTCTGTTCCTTTTAACTCTGAATATTTTTAAAGGCTAAAGTTAATTAAAGGCCCTTTTCCATTCCTTTTTCCTTCCTGGATAAAAAATTGTCCCTATAAAGTAACTGAGAATTAAAGGTTTGGCTTTAAGACCCACATGTCTCTGGTGATTAAAAAGTTACTTAAATTTTTTTGGCAAGCTCAGTATACTTGATTTGAGTTTTTGCTTGAAGTCAAGAATTAGGAACATTTGTTCATGTCCAAAAACAAATTTAAATTGTACTCAATCTACTTAGTATTTTTCATGAAGGACAGCTTTCTCTCTTCGTTGAAAAAAGGTCCATTTTTAATGGAGTACAATGGAAAATTGTATGGGGAAACATTCTTTCTTAATGACACATTTTAATGGCCAATCAACCAAACAATACTTTATAATATACTTCTGTATGTATCTGAAGAAAGAGAATTTCCACTAACTTCTTGGAGCTTTGCTTTAATAGGACTCTGTTACTAAAGGGGGAAGAGTCACCTTTTCCTAAATTCTTTAGGTCTTATCCTTTCCAATATCATTTTTCTTTTGTCTGTCTTGTCCCATTCAAAAGGGAAGACATAGGCTTGATTCTCCATTCTGTTTGAAATTTATGCAGTTAGGTTGGAGAGGTGGAGTCACAACTGACTGGTTGCATCTCCCTAGTTCTTGGCCACCTGGCACTGCCAACATAACTGAAAGCTGCAGGGGAGCAGTTCTGACTTGCACTAGTGAAGAACTGAGTGTGCACAAACTCTGTTCTGCCACACCCTACCTTCTTTGGATTACCCCTAACTCTCCTCTCCTCTATGCTGGAGTGGGAGGTCAGTTGGCACAGGGGAAGCTTGCTATTGGTGTAGTGTTTCCTTGAACAGGGACTTCACCATTACCATCAACTTTAAGGCCATTTTGTATTACTCACAGCATATGTGGTACAAATAACTTTAGTAATTCTGTGAATCCAGACCATAGAATATTGCCTGTAATTTTCTCATGAGGACTGTTTTGGCTGACCTCTAATCTTGGTAATATGAAATGAGGCCTGCATTAGTTCTTTATACTCTCTACATCAGTGAGGAAATCGTAGGATTTAAAATGGTTCCACAAGTGTGGTTAACAGTGTTTTTGTCTGTGACTTGATTTTTTTGGGGGTAAGACTGTGTTTCAGAGGGAGAGTTCTGTGACTTGTCTTTGCTTAAGGTAATTCAATTCTGTCTGCTGTTAGAACCTTCTAGTCCAGGTCAAGATTTGGACATGCCAATGGAAGTTGACAGCAATGAAATAAACATTGACGGTAGCAGGGGTTTGGATGATGTAGAAGAACCTTCTCCTCCAGAGGATAAAATGTTCTTTATGGACCCTTCCGATCTTGATGTGGACAAAGATGAAGATGCTGTCAAAACTATCAGGTGAGCAGTGCCACAGATTTTTGTGCTACAGGCATTCCATTCCCCAACACTGTATACTAAAATATACAGTTTTTGTTCCAGATTTGTTGCTGTTAGTTAGATCTTCATTTGCAGTTTTACAAAATATTCAGTTCCAATTAAAGCTAAAACATTCAGTTCCAAATAAGTTAAAAACAGATCAGGGATGGTCAAACTTCCTGATACTCTAAGTAGCATACAGCAACCTTCAGAAGTTTGAGAGTCCTGCGACGAAGTGATGGGGCTAGGCACTTCAGCTCTGCAGCCTTGTGAGGTCTTGGGGTGTGTTCCTGCTGCAGCCCTGAGTCCTGTAAGCTAAAGCCCCAAGTCTCCCCTGTCTACTGGCACTGGTGCTGAAACGAGGGGTGCAGAGGTGCTGCCCATACCCTCTAGTTTGAGATGGTTTCCATTATATACAGGATTTACAGTTTGGTTCAATAGCTCTCAGTACCCCTTCTATAAAAATTGTTCCAGCATCTCTGCCTGCTGGGTAGAAGCCCTAGCTCCCTCAACAGTCTAGTAGACAGAGAATGGGGGATGTAAGAGAGCCTCCAAGAGCCCCACGTTAACCGTAAAAGAGTTGCATGCAGCGCACAAGCCACAGTTTGGTCACTCTGGCACAGATATATGTGGGATATTTTTCTTGCAAAAGTTGTTGTATTGTGATTGTCAGCCTGGAAGTAAATCACCTTATTGAAAAATGGTTAGAATTACAGATTAGTCAGTGGAAAATGCCTTTCTCTCAAAGATCTTCATGCCTATTTTATGCTATTGATCTTGGATCAAATTTATTCCTATTTTAAATAGACCTAAATGGATTTAGTTCTTGTGTTTTAATTCCATTTGAGTTTGGCTAAGGGAGTTGATATTTCAATTTTTGTGGTTTATATTTTGATGTGAGTGTTGATTTTTCAGTATACAGCTTGTATATCAATTGTGTTTACTTACATAAAGTCGATTTGAGAGAGAGAATTTGGTTTCTGCTGTTACTTAAATCTTCTTGGGCTTGCATCAGACAATCATTATCCAGTTTGGGTATGTTACTTTAAGTAATTTTTTAAAACTTCTGTACTACTTTGAAAAATGTCGTCATGTTCTCTGAAGCTAGGCTTGCAAATCATTCCCGCCAGTGCTACCACTGCTTTTTGTACAGGACACTGGAGGTTTTTATTCACAAAGTTGGATAAACCTCAGGTTTAGCTAATTAATGGATACAAATGTTAGAAACCATTGGAGCCTGGTCTGCACTTGAACTAACACTAGTGGAATTTTGTTGGTAAAATTTAGTGAAGGTGTGACTCAAATGTTTCTACCTAGGTGGACAGCTTATGTCACATGTACAGTTATAGATGACCAGTGGAATAGTAGTATTATGGTATAGCTAATCAGTGGACTAGAATAACAGTACATAGGCATTAGTGGTACTATTTTCTTGTTTTTAGGGGGAAAAAAGGCCATTCAATTATTTTTTTGTGAGAGAGCCTTATTTCTTTAGTCATTCTCATTCCAGCCAGGCATATCTTATCTTTAATTAAACATACCTCTCTATTGTAAGTGCTTTCACATTTGTATTGGTGAAGCTAGTAGGAACCATATGACAACGTGTTGCAGCTGAAAAACCCTGCTATTCACTTGGATGCTCATTTTGGTAGTAGTGTTCAACTTACTTAGAAGCTGACCTTGTCAATCAAAGACACAGCATTTATTGGTAAGAAAAGATGTCTGTTCCTGAAAACACACAGTATAGTACTAGTATAATTGTCGTTAAATCTTAATGATTTCTGATTGTTGTAAACTTTTTTTTAAACTTAGTCCATCAACAAGCAATAATATTCCATTAATGAGGGTTGTACAATCAATCAAGCACACAAAAAGGAAGAGCAGTACAATGGTGAAGGAAGGGTGGATGGTTCACTATACCAGCAGAGATAATCTGGTTAGTATCTTAAATTCCTTCACATATCTATTTTATTGTAAGGGATACTTGTTTACATCAATAAATTAGTTTCCCTTGTGTTTAAAAATGTGGTTTAATAATGCATGTGTCCTTCTTTAGAATGTAATTGAGTATTTTTATATCTATACAATAATAGTATGACTAAGCAAATCTAGGAAGGAATTGATTCCCTATTTCCTAGTCCCAAAATTGTCTAGTCAGCAGTTCTCAAACTGTGGGCTGGGACCCCATAGTGGGTCACAGTCCTCTTTTAATGGGGTCACCAAAGTTGGCTTAGACTTGTTGGGGCCAGGGACTGAAGCCTGAGACCAAGGGCTTCAACCCTGGATGATGGGGGACAGGTTTTTTGCCTGGGGCAGTGGGACTCGGGGTTTGGCTTTGGGGTCCCCTGAGCCACCAGGAGTGGCAGGGCTCAGGCAGGCTCAGGCTTCGCTTCCCTGCCCTTTGCCTAGAGTCATGTAATATTTTTTTCTATCAAACGGGGATCATGGTGCAATGAAATTTGAGAACCCTTGATCTAGGCTTTCAGTTAACACCATAACAGTGCATTTAGCAGCAGTAGCTATGTGTTTTCCTCTCATCTGGGACCAGATTGTATTTTCCACCTAGAGTGACAAGGTTCCTTAAGGGCTTCTTTCATGTTCTTTCCCCAGTTTCCCCCTTTTGAACTTAAGTATAGTGTTAGCAGAGTTGATGTGTCCTCTCTTTTGAGCCCTTAGCCACCTGATGATGAAGTTTGCCTTTGTAGTAGTCAGTGCTCCTTTTTTTTTTTGGTGATAGTACTGCCCGGTATGCAGTCCCAGCGCCTCCAGACGCAGTACCGGCACCTCCAGTCAGAGCTCAACAACTTTTCCTCTGGAGTACCGGCACTTTTTTTTTTTTTTAAACACCAAAAAAAAGCAGTGGTAGTAGGTATTACATTAGCTTGAAGTGTAGGGGAGAATCAGGCCTTCAAGACACATTCTCTTTGTTTCAAGATGATATTTCATTTTCTCTCCAAGGTTCCATATAAACCAGAGTTCCATATAAACCATATAAATCAGAGTTCCATATAAACCAATCTATTCACCTCCCAGTTTTTTTCCCCTCAAACACCACTCAGCTTTTGGGAAGCTAGCCCTAACCTAGATGTTTTAGTAATGGACTCTCCTTTTCCATCAACAGGAAAGAAATCATTTGATAAGATATTCAGACTATCCCTAGCCTTCGTTGATAAGGGGACAACCTGTATCCCCCACCAAAGGGGTCAAAGTTGGTCTTCAGTTTTATAAAAACTATCCAAGTTAGATTCCATATTAGAGTTCATTTCACTAGAGTCCTGGCAATCTGTGCTACCTATTTGTAGAATGTCTTAATACTTGACATTTTAAGGTAGGCACTTTATAGGACACTACTCTTTGGCAGAGACTTTCAAATTGGTTATCCTGCAGTCATTATTTTAAGTAGAACTCTTAGTACGCACATCCAAGCAAATAGCTTCTTGTTAGTCACCAAGAATGGACAATCTCTCATCAAGAATAGTTACCTTACACTAACTGTGATTTTTCAAGATGTGTTGTCCATATGGATTTTATGATCCACCCTCCTCAACACTACTACAGAGTCATTGTCCTCTGGGATTCTGTATTGGCAAAGGGACTTGAGGGATGGTTGGGCTGTGTCATCCCTTGATATCCTTGGAGGAGAGGTATGCAAGAATGTGTAGAGTGCAGATATGGCCCCAGCAGACACAGCTAGCCAAAGGAATCTGGTCTTACCTGCGTGTAGTACATGAACCATGACTGAAATCCATGTAGACAACACTTCTCAAAGAACCACAGTTATCACTGGGTAAGTAACCATTCTTTACAATTTGTGAATTGCATCTGTTCTTGAGTTTTAAATATTGGTGTGTGTATCCCAAAGTAGACATTCTTTCATGCATCCAATGTAAACTGAAAATTCTAGCAGCTGTAGCCTGACATTCAGTATGTAGTATTTCATGAGTATTGTAAATCAAATCTTGTACTTTAAATGTCTGGAAACTAAGTTTTAGTAGTTTTGTTTGTGCCTCATGATGCTCTGTGGTATGTCTTGTAGAGAAAGAGACATTATTGGAGACTGGATAGTAAATGTCTTACGCTATTTCAAAATGAATCTGGAACAAAATATTACAAGGTAAAAATATTTTACATTTATATAGTACTTTACTTGTTACTATACACACATCCAGTTTACCCTCACAACAAACCCTGTGAGGTAGAATGATAAATATTATCCCTGTTAATCAATTGGACTAAATGTCTCTTACTTGAAAAGTATTTAAACTGTTATTTAAAGGGGGTGTTAACTTATTATACGAAGGTTGTTAGCAGTTACTGGATAGTTTTAGGGATGTTAAATATTGGTTAATTGAATAGTCAATTCACCTCATGAATTCTTATCAGTTAGTCGACTATTCTATGGTCCACGGGCAGCCAATATCCGGTGGGGAGGGGTCTGAGCTCCCGGACCCGGCAGGAACTGAGCCAGGCTGCCTGCCCGTCTGGCTCCTAATACACTTTATGCAGAGCCACAGTGGGGGTAGGTCTAGGACCCAGTGCAAGCCGAGACTGAGGTGAGCTGCTGACCAGCCTGCTAAAAAATGTACTGGTAAAGGGGGGGAGGGAAGCATGTAGACTATAGCATTAACACACAAGCTTTTTTTCTTGTCGGTTAATCGACTATACTATTACATATAGTATAGTTTAGCTAACTGGTGATCAGAAGTTTTAAATCTGTTACAGATACTATTGTAGAAGAAATAGATTGATTGTTGTACAGATGGGACTGTAACTTAGAATCACAGAAATATAGGGCTTGAAAGAACCTTGAGAGTTCATCTAGTCTAGGCCCCTGTGTTCAAATATACCTAGACCATCCTTGTCAAGTGAAGGTGTAACTTTTTCTTAAGAACCTCCAGCCATTTCCCAACTTCCCTTGGAAGAGTATTCCAGTGCTTAGCTATCATTATAGTTAGAAAGGCCTTCCTAATATACAACCTAAATATCCTGTATTGGAGATTGAGCCTATATGACTTGTCAGATTTTAAAAAGAGAATGCAGAGGAAATTTGTTTGAACAACGGGTAATGGTAAATAAATAACTTGACAATGAGTTTAACATGGATGGTGCTCAGCTTTAGAAGGTATTTTTCACTCTGTATAACTTCTGTCATCTGCTTTGTTATTTTTCTAACTTGTCTACTTGCTCACTTCTGACTGGCCTTGTTGAAAACTGGGGTCTTCTCTTATTATACATGTTTACTGTAGATGTTCACTTGATCCTCTGTATTTACTTTTAAGTTCCTAAGATATAACTTGAAATTTGTTCTCTGAGGAGTAATTTACCCAAGATCAGTGAAATGCATTCCTGTGTTCTTATCTTGCCATGCAGCCTCCCAGTAAATAGTTCTGGTATGCCAATAATTCCTGCAGATTATTAATAGAGTAATATCTTTTGTGGTGAAATATTCACAATGTGTTTATAACCTAAGCAGAGATCTCCTCCCCACCCTCATTGCTGAATGCCATCAGGCTGTGTCCAAATCTTGCAGTTTCTTCCTCCATTACATCTCTAAGGGTACGTCTAGACTACATGCCTCTGTCGCCAGAGACATGTAGATTAGGCTACCAGACATAGTAAAATGAAGCGGCGATTTAAATAATCGCCGCTTCATTTAAATTTACATGGCTGCCGCGCTGAGCCGACAAACAGCTGATCTTATCCTCCTCCTTCCTATCTTGACCAATGTCATCTTTTCTTCTCAGACCTCTCTGATGCTCATATTTCCCCAGTCCAGTCTATTCAAAACACAGCTTTTAAGATTTTCTTCAGTCGCTGCTCACCTTGTGTCACTACCTCTTCAGATCTCTCCAATTACTCTTACTTTTCTCTACTTGAAGGCTTTGTCTTCACCTTTAAAACCTTTTACAATTTTATGCTCCCTGCTTATCTGTTCTTGTCTTTTATTGAGTGACCCTGCCTTCTCACTATAATGCCAACCTACTTCACTTGCTTGTCCACTTTTCCCAGGTGTTCTTTCATGTTCTTTCGCATTTGCAGGGAATGCCCTCGACTAACTCGTCCATAACTTAACAACCCTCTCTTTTTTCAAATCTTTCTCCAAGTCCCTCTTCTGCCATGATTCTGTGGTAATTTGCCAGCTGATAATGACAATATAGAGTGCCAATGGGAATATCAAATGTTTATATAGAAAGGAAATGTTGAGGTTTTTTGTAATTGTGCACATAACTAGCATAGGTAACCACATATTCTTATCACTGTTGCTGTTGTCTTTTGCCTCCTATTCCTGCTTGGTTTTGGTCACACTTGTATCTTCTCTTAGTTGTAAACCCTTCACAAAAAGGATATAATTATGCGTATGTTTGGTATTTAATGCAATGATGTCCTGGCCCAAATACTAGTTATACTGCTATTTAAAAAATCTAAATACAATCCTATTACTAAGCGGCAGAACCCATGGTGTTTGTTTAAGCTGTGCTCCTATTTAAGTTAATGCTGGTTTGACTTAAGAGTGCTGGATTGAGCCCTAAATATGCATGGAAATAAGCAGCACGGTGGAAAGTGTACAGCGATTTGGGAAGACAGAGAAGTTAGTAGTAATATGAAATTTGACATTACCAAAACATTCAGTTCAGTGGCTGTAATGATTCCTAACTTGTAAGTTCCAAGATGTTATAATACATGTATGTTTTCAGAATTTTTAACACTTAATATTTTTCTTCAGGAGATTCCACTTTCAGAAATTCTCCAGGTGAATCAGCCCCGAGATTTCTCAAACATGGTGCAGGGCAGCAACCCACACTGTTTTGAGATCATCACTGACACCATGGTATACTTTGTTGGTGAAAACAATGGCAACACCCATCACAATCCTGTTCTTGCTGCCACTGGAGTTGGACTTGACGTAGCTCAGAGCTGGGAGAAAGCCATTCGTCAGGCGTTGATGCCAGTCACTCCTCAAGCTAGCGTGTGTACTGCAGCAGGACAAGGAAAAGATCACAGTAAGAAGGCAGACAAGGCACTGTTGTTCATATATTGAAGCTGTTACTGATTTAGGCTTCAATTCAGGAAAGCCTTTCAGCGTGTATTTAAAGTGAAATATTCATTTAAATGCTTTATTGAATTGGAGCCTTACTTAATTTTTAGATACACATGGAATTTTGTCATCTTAACTGTGAAAAGAAATCTTTTCACTTGCGGAACCAAACAGTAGTTAAGAATCTCTTGTCATTTCCATCATAAATGCATATTACAAAACCTTTATTGTCTGTAAAATTCACACATGGTTGATGCACTTAATACAGGTCATGACTAAAGTACGTTTAATATGACATTTCAAAAAAAAGGATTGTTCGTTTAGTTAAAACTCCCTTACATTTAAGAAACTAATACTTTATGGTACTGTCCACCTAATTCCTTTCATATTTGTATAGTTACATCCTAACTGTAAGCACAAGAAAGGTAGCTAGTAATGGGATGTAAATACTGCCTACATAGGTGTGCGCAGGACATTTCATTAGGGTGTGCACCCAAAGAATTTTTTAAAAATGTACTTTGACCCCCATTAGCCACACCCCTGACCCTGTTAACCACGCCCTCTGACCCCCATTGGCCACACCTCTGGAGGTAATACTCTCCTGGCAAGATGGACACATGACCAGAAATAAAAGGTGTCATGTGACACCCCCCCCAACTCCCCTCATGCAACTATCCTGCAGTTGCATTACCCCAATGTATGTGACATTAACTTGGGGGCGAAGAGGCTGAGGGAAGTGTTTCCTCTAAGAGTTTCCTCCCATGAGCAGAATGAATTTTGTGTTGTGCACCAGTATTGAGTTCATGTGGCTTGTTTGCATGTGCCACTGTGGCACCCAAGTTATTAATAAATATCTCATAAATCTCTACCTTTTTCCTCTGCTGTCATGTCTCCTCCCCTTGCTCCATCAGCTACCCTGCTGCCTGCTGCCCCCCAACCCCTCACCCTCCTCTGTTGTCCTGACGCCTTCCCTTCTCACTGCCCTCAGCACTCCTGTGACCTGCCCCCCTCCACCAGCCCTTCACTCCCCCTGTACCCACTCCTCCAGTAGCCCCACTCTGATCATGTGAGCTACCCCTCCTCATCCCCTCTCCTAACATCTCCCTCTACACACCTGCCCTGCACCTTGTCTGGTGCTGGTTCCTCCCCTGAAGGTGTCTGCCCTTCTGCTTCACCCCAGAATCCCCTGGCACCTGCACCTTCCTTTAGCCCTGCACCCTCCTGGTACCTGCCCCTTCCCTCACTGGCCTTGCCCCCTTTGCCCTCTTTTTCCCTGATGCCCATCCCCTCACCACTCTCTGTCCCCATTCTCCTCATGCCCCTGTGCCCTCACGCATCTTGCTCCATCCCCACCTTTCTCATGCCTACCCACCCCTTCTTTCAAGCCTTCTCCCAGCACCTCCCCCTCAAATCCCCAATGCCCTCCTCTCCTCTCCCAGCATCACCCTGTCCCCCCTCACACTGACACCTCCTCTCCTGCCCTTTTCCTCATTGTCTCCACTTGGCTCCCTGGCATTTGTCTCTCCTCCACCCTGTTCCTTGGTGATTTCCCCTTTCTTCTCCTGACCTGCCCCTCTCCCCTCAGCACAGGCCTCTTCCTCTCCCACCCCTGCCTATTTTCTTCCTCCCCCACACCTTCCTCTTATTTCCCCCCCTTTCCCTCCCCTCCCTTACCTTCGGCTTCTGCCTTCCGATTCCTGGGGCTGGAGTCAGAGCTGGCCCCAGCTACCTCCTGGGGCACCACACGGTGCTGTTGGGCTGGACGGGGGGCGCCCCCGGGGGCCGCACGGTGCTGCTGGGCCAGGCAGGGGCGTCCCCAGGGTGCCTCGGGGGGGGCTGCGCGGTTTCCAGCTCCAGGCCTTGTACAAATTGTTCTAATCTTTTTACCTGTTTTCCGATCAATTTTGGCATTTTACAAATTCTGAACTATTGCTTCACAAAACAAAACCCAGACCAGATTGTCTAAATCAACATGTGACTTTTGAGTCTGGACATACATAGTTCAGAACACCAGTGCAGTCTTTCACTCTGGCTACATTGCTAGAAGTCTGTTAAATTTTACTTTATCTTATATAATTATATTTTCCTTCTTATTGCAGAAGAGTTATCTCTCAGCATCTCGGTTTCAAATTGCCAGATCCAGGAGAATGTGGTGAGTCATGTACAAAAATAGTATTATGTGCCCGGACTCTTTTTTTTGTACAGAAGTTGATAGTAAGAAAGAATGTCTCATAAAATGGTCAGGATAAAACACCTAGTTTTATAGCCATGAAACTCTTTATTCTCATTAAGCACATAAACTGGTTTCCCTTACGGGTTTTTGTTGAGTGTGTGTCATCACATGTCACACAATGACTAGAATTTCCTGAGAGAAAGTTTCTTCCCTTTTATTTCTCTTCCAAACTAATGACACCCACAGAATAGGAAACATACATTTGTAGGTGGTGCAATAATTCTCCAAATACTTTTGGTTTAATTTTGTATATTTTCCTATACATAAAGGCAGGCGATTTTCATTAGAATTAATATATATTAGATAGGTTTTTAACCTTTTGTTTGGACTCTCATTATTAGAACCTGGAACAGATTGAACTAACAATGTGTTCTGGATTTTTTAAGAATGAGATATCAGATAGTCACCAATATTCAGAATAACAGGTAGAGTTTGCACATATGTCAGTACAAAATTGTTATTTTTTTACTGTCATCGTACTGTTTGCTAAATACAGGCAGTCCCCGAGTTATGTCGGATCCGCACTTACGAACAGGGCTTTTCTCACCCCGGAACTCGCGGGCGGCGGGACCACCCAGACGCGCAGTGGTCCCACCACCGCATCCTCTGGGGCGAGAAAAGCTGCTCCGGGTGTCCCTGGTCTGCTGTGGGGGTCCCCAGCAGACCAGGGACACCCCGAGCAAAGCCGCAGAGGCGGGGGGGGGTCCCGC